ACTCAGCAATAATGATATACAGTGAGACTATAATTTATGGATGAAGCAATCAAGTATAAGGTATCAGGTCTCGGATTCTGGCGCGAAATTCACTCATCCATTTGGCTAAATAGAGTTTTGGCATTATAGCTGATGTAAGTTCATGATGAAAACCCTAAATCTAATTTATAACCTTAATCATCAACTGCACATCATAATTTTAATTCCCCACACTGATCTATATTCCTTATTTGGTCCTAGTTATTAGGTGGACACTCTCAAGGTCACTCTAGCGTCACTCAAAGGTCGTTCATAAATTATAGTCTCAACATGATATACAACAGCGTGTTGTAGCTTTTAACAATACTATACGTGTGAAATGAATAAAATTCAGATAAATGTCCATACTTGTTAAATACACAAGAGAAAAATTTGTTTGTTATAATATCATCAGTGAGTTGTATATACATATATATCTTAAATGAAGCCCTTATCACGACATGTGGTAATACAATCCGTATACATACGGACTTTATTTATGTAGCTAGCTTTCTATTTGTTCATTCGAAAATGTGCAAATATAGGATTGTCTTAAATTCCTAATGTTAAGTTTATTACTCAGCTACTTAATTAAATTATTATAATTACAGATTGAGCGTGTATTTCCTTTCATTTACATCCTTGCCATAGCTCAGTACTAAAATATAGGTTTTAATATAACATAATTATTAAAAAGTAAATAGTGGTGAACAATCAGGCAAGTACATCATCATACTTCAGAATATAACACTTCGTGATTGTACAAAGAAGAACAATAAGAAATATTATTCAGAAGTATTGTGCTGATACTAATTGTCAAATCGATAGGAAGGCACATATCAAAGTTATTTACAGAATTCTTTCGAATTTTCCCCATGATTCCAGATCACGTCTAAATATTTTCGTATAGTTTCTTGATCTGCTTTTTTACTTTTTCAATTTTTATTTGGTTTTAAATTTTGTTTTATTCATAATCAATTTTATTTGCCTGATAATACCCTTTAAATATTCAGTTTAGGATTTTCTCACTATTATTTGAAGTTAATGCTCAACTATTTTAATCCTAAAGTTACTACAAAAATTTCTTAATACCTATTTTTATCCAAAAGTAACCGATTGTGTTAGCTACCCGATTGTTTCATTTATTGTTTTATTTTTGTATCCAACTATAATTTTTAAAGATAATATGAAGTGAGGAAACATCACTTTTTACTTGGTACTGATTTGATATTCAAACAGGAAAATTCTGTATATAATGCCATAACTAGGATTTAATGGAAAAGGGATATTGTTTTTTTTTCAATTTGTGATTAAAATGTTTAGAAGGGGATATTTGATATACTTTTTATAATCATTTCAACCTATAGAAGGCCAATTGAACTGATCGCTAAAGTTTTATGCCCATCGATTCAATCTCCTGGATTGAGAATGTCAGTCAGTCAGTCAGTAACAACGTAGAACTTCGTACGTATGTACATCAGTTCGAGTTGCCACACCAAATTAGCACAGAGATGTAATTGTCGATTCAAATCCCGTAGTGGTAGAGGTAATAAGAGTATAAGCAGTAATCGGGAAGATTAGTGTTTGGAGATGTTATTTAAAGAGTATAATCCAGTGAAACAAATTTGGAAAGAGGAAAAAAATGACATAAAGAATTCAGAAGATTAGAATTTGGGAGAACACAGAGAGTGGATGCACCTGCGCCATTGCAACCGATTTTGAGCCATGTCATTCAGAGTCTCTAACCATCGGTTGCTATCATTTCGCGGTCCCCAACCAGGTAGTCTACACCTACCAACATGACTCAGTTCACTTGTCAGTGACTTCATGGACTTGTGCCATGTTTTGGTTTGGCCGCCCCTAGCCTTCTTCCAACCTACTCCTATACCACTGAACATAGCACGTCGAGGCAGTCGGTGGTTGGGCATACGTAACACGTGTCCCAGCCATCTCAACTGATGAAGTTTCACTACTTCATCAATTGATTTGTCATCCTTACCTAGTACCCGTGTCCTAACAACTGTGTTACTTACTCGATGGTCCCATGATATACGAGCAATGTTTCGAAGACACCTATGATCAAATACTAGTAACCTACGGATATCCTCTACTCTTACCGGCCATGTTTCACTGCCATAAATTAGGACGGAACGAACTGCTGCGCAGTAAACCCGTCCTTTGGTTGATAGACGGATATCTCGCCTACGCCATAAATGACGCAAGTTGGCAAAAGCTAGTCGAGCCTTCTGTATCCGTGCTGAGATTTCGTCACAAACCAGACCACAAGGGCTGATGAGACTTCCAAGATAAGTGAAGCAGTCGACACGCTCAATTACTTCACTCCCTATCACTAGTTCGGGTGTCGATGTAACCCAATCCTGAAGCAACATTTTGCATTTCGAGAGAGAGAATCGCATCCCGAACATGCTTGCATTGTTGCTTAGAGTGGTAAGAAGACTCTGCATTTTGTCAGCGTTTTCACCAAATAAAACTATGTCATCTGCATATTCTAAGTCAACAAGTGAACCTCCCGGTACAAGTTCAACCCCTGGAAATTTAGATGAGGAGAGTGTTATCTCTAAAAGTACGTCGACCACAAAATTGAACAAGAATGGGGAGAGTGGACAGCCCTGACGAACACCACTCGAGGTAATCAATTCTGATGACAGTTCGCCATAAGCTCCCACTCTACTAGTTGTGTCCGAGTAGAGAGCCTTTATAAGGTTAATGTACTTCTTTGGTACTCCTTTCAGTGACAAACACTGCCATAGAACCTCACGATCAACAGAGTCGAATGCCGCCTTAAGGTCGAGAAATACTACGATTGTGGGACGTCTGAATGTTTGTTTATGTTCTAGGACCTGATGTAGTGTGAATATCTGGTTTATACAACCACGTCCAGGTCGAAAACCAGCCTGGTTTTCTCTAGTCTGCTTTTCACGAGCTTTGATTAGGCGTCGAAGTATTATTGAGGCTAATATTTTAGACACTATATTAGTCAAACTGATTCCTCTGTGGTTGTCACCAGAGGACTTTTGTCCTTACTTATAGACTGGCACAACCAGTGATTGAGACCAGTCAGATGGGATTACGTCCAGTTCCCAAATTCTACCTAAGACCTCGGTTAATCTCATTGCTAATACTGGACCACCATCCTTAAAAATCTCAGGAGTAAACCTGTCAGGGCCTGCTGCTCTCCCTCGTTTCAGATTTCCTATGGCTTTTTCAACTTCGTAAAGGGACGGAGGACCTACATTAACTTGCCATTCAGGTTGACTAGAGATCGTGGGAAACCGAAGTGTGGCTGAAGACCAGTTGAACTGATCCCTAAAGTGTTCTGCCCATCGATCCAATCTCCTGGATTGAGAATGTATAACATGTCGATCTTTCTCTGAGATTGTTTCGCTAACGGTCGGGTTCCTAATTCCGGTTTCCTTAACAAGCCTGAACAGTTGTCTGCTATTACCTATTGCCACTGCCTTTTCCATCTCTCTTGCTTTCACTACCCACCACTGTTCACGATCATTGCGTAGGCTTCTTGTCAGCTTGCGCGTAAGCTGACTCCGCTCTTCGTTATGTTCAGAGTCAGATGGGATGAGTTTTCGAGCATCTACCAGCGCGGTAGATGCTGCTGAGATACAATGTTTTGCCCTAACCTTGTGGTTTACCATACTAGCAGATATCACTGCTGTTTCCCCACTATCTAACTACCTGTAAATCATAAACGGTGAGCGTTTCTGTAAACGACAAGTGAAAATCGGCAGATTAACGTCCGTAAAGTAATGAAGAAAAAAGACAGGGTACTCCATAAATTATTGATAAGAATTATCTAAGATGATCAAATCACGGATTGAGTAATTTTGCTACTCATTTTTTTGTTGTCAGTATTGAAGTTATTCGGCTACAAAGAATTACAGCTAAGTTGGAAATACCTTAAAAGGAACAGAATAATATGTCATCGATCCTAATGGTGTAAAAATGGCAGATAAAAAGAGCTATCGATCACGCCGATATTCTTAAAATTAAAAAAATTAGCAATTAGAGACAGTGAACTGTGTAGCTTACAATCACTGGTAGATAGAGATTTGCATTTGCATGCAGGTTTTTAAAATTACTTGATTCAACTTTAACTAATGAATAACTACGTTAGCTATACAACAGTGATAGTTTACAATAAACCAGTGTATGACTTCGACTTTCATCACCCAATAATTACTGAATTTTGAAAACAACACTAGTTGATATTCGGCCGAGAGGTTTCTGACATGGAATACAATAATTTCGGGAAAAACAAATTATTCCCACAACTTGGCAATCGTCATGAAAAAGGGAAGCGCTAGAAACCCATCATTTTAAACCTGAATTCTATGTGCAGTACAGACACATACAAGCAATTATTCTTCCATCGCCCTAGCACTTAATTTTCATTATCGGTCATTTGATTTCAATAAATCATTCGAATACTTTTAATCTTCCTAATTTTAATTTTGATCATTAGTTATCATCACCTTTACGTTTTAGAATTAACTGTTCACCCTTCTTACACTTGTTAAGTGGATAATTATCCTTCTCATATTTTATTTCATCCTATTATCAATGCCGAATAACATGACACTCATAATCAGCGGCAGTGCCGAAATAATATCTATTCTCTATCATCCTATGAATCCTGGTTTCACTGTTACTCTATATTTTTCATCTCACTAGCTAATTTATTCTCAATGAGCTGTTACTGTTATTTAGCTTCTTGGTGTATTTAATATAGAATCGCTTTATTTGGATCACATCAAATTAGTTTCGTGTCTACCTGTATTTATACAAACATGAACTGACATACATTCTGGCTAGATCTTACGATGACGATGACTAACTGACTGTGATTTGAAAAATATCAACATAAACTATTTCAAAGTGGATGTCTCTGTAATTTTGTAAACAGTATAATTAATTGATTAATAAATAAAAACATACAACAGACTTACTATTAATGATCACTACACATATAATCGTTATAAGGAAAAATGTTCCTGGAACTAAAATAAATAAACAAGTAAATAAAAATATGAATGTATTACATTATTGGATGACGTAACAACAAAATAAAATAACAAAAAATTGACGTCATTGAATCTTGAACTCATATAACAACATTTCATTAGTTACTTTAACGAATTCATTGAAATATAAATTGGAAATTAATAATAGTTAAACGGAGCGACATACAAACTGTATGATATATATTTCAGCCTTATTAGTCATTTAATCGATCAAAAGTAAAATTGGAATAGTATTGACGTTGAATTATGTCACAAGATTGTTGCCAGTTCGAGAATATTAAAAAAACAAGCACTTAACGGCTGTTTTGCCTTAATATAGTTAATAAAGTCGTTTTTCATCAACAAAATGAAATGACTGTTTCGTTATATCGCAAATCAATCAAATTTATAGGATTATAACTCAGTAGTCCAAATTTTACGCGCTTGCCATGAGACCTCAAAGCCCTCGGGTTCGATGTGTTACAAGAAAATAGGGGTGTACTGATGAGGCATTCATTACTATGAAAGAATGACTGTCTAGTGTTCGCTGGTTTTCAGTGCTTCCTCAACTGATATCAGTCTGTGACATAGACCAGTTTCAAAATAAAACGTCTAAACAAAGCTATTAATTTCTTTTAATAACATTATTTCTTGCTATATTTCGTTGACTCAGTGATTCACTATCACGCATATCTTAAAATGGAATTGTGACGAAGTATAAATCTTCCAAAAACTTTGCTATTGTATCTTTGAATTCAAATAGAAATGTACAGTGAATTGAGATTTTGTTATGTAAACTGATTCTTTGAAGTTACAAGCAAGGTGTTCTTTTTCAATAATTTTGAGGATCAAGAAAATTTGAAGTTTTGGGTTCAAGGGATATTGGTAATTATTACTCGTTGTCTACTCAACTTATTCGAGATGATTCATTTGTAAGCATCATATCAGTTCACCCGATCAAATAATTTATGCATGCTAAGTTAATTAACATATTCGACATCCCCAAAGGATTGTATCAGTCAACGATGTGAACTACTTTGAAATATACTTTTCTGTAATAATGATATTTACTTTATGTACAGAGGAATTTATTTTTATAGATCATACAGTTGTCATCAATCAAATAATCAACGTTTTAGCTTTAACTATTCATGAAACCCACTTGATACGATGAAAAGTGTTTCTTGATATTGACTATACTATTTGTAGCATATTTTACTTCATATTCATTTGAAAGTGCTCAAATTCAGACTGATTACACTGATTTGTCGTTTACAACTAAATACCCATCTAGCTTTGCATACACAGCTTCGATACATGTACTACATAAATCCATATACAGGATGATACATATCTTATTTATTTTAAATACACTGTTACTTTTAATCACATAAAGTATTTCATTCCTATGAAGTAAATTGATTTGTAGCAAAGTTTTTTCGATTGTGTTTCAGGTCATGTCAACAGTTACATTTGAATGAACAACCAAACTAAGTGATAGCTTATACAACAGAGCAATTTGTAGACATTAGTTTTATCACCGTGTGTTTTGGATAAAACAGAAAAATAACTTCGAAAAGTAAAGAGTATTCTTTCTAATACAATAAACTACTCTAACACGTTAAGCAATGTTAAACTATTACTGCAACATTGATTTGTATAGGATTGCGTATGATACCAATTTTGTTTGATTTAAACAGAATCATCACTAGTTTTCAGAAAAAATTTCTGAAGTACAAAGTATTTGTTGTGTATAATACATTTTTGTTCTGATAACATATAAAAACTTGTAGAATGATCTTGAAAAGTGCAAATCCATTGGCTTTTACTTAAACTTTGTTTCCAGTAACGAAATCTACCAAAACGACGAGGTCTTATTATTCTCTTATTATTTATGTATCTGGAACAAATATGAATAGACTAACGATTAGTCCTGAAATATTGACTAGTCACAATAGCATTATTCGAAATTTCATATGTATAATGAACCAATACTATGACTATTCAGTAAAAACGAATTTGATGAAAAGGCTTGCAGATGTTTTAGTAACCGTGGAATACCGGTGGATAGATTCATACACTATGTAAAACAATTAAAGTTTGTAGTGATCATCCAACTATGTCGATTTTATGACTCAAATTTGTTGCCAAAAAAAGAGAACCTCATTTTTGAAAGTTCTATTTATTGTTCACAGGTACAAAAATTAATCTTCCAAGCCATGTTGGAATTAATTCGGTCAATAGTCACATCTGTTTACGAATTAATTTCAACCTGAACCGAAAGATCTTACTGGGAAACAAGTGTGAGGAACTGTGGTTAAGTCTGTGTCTTTAGGCTATATGGCATATTGATGGTAACAAAAACATGTTTTCTGTGAAACTAGGAGCGGAAAAAGTTAAGAAAACAACTTTTAATGCTTCACCTGCTGAAAATTTTAGTGTAATATAAAACACAATGATTACCACCAGATATGTATCATTGATATAAGAACAAACTAATATTTTAGAATATTAAAGATTCCCATTGTGAAAATTAGAACAACACATATAAGCGAACAATTGTTTTCAATTAGATCGTCATCAGGCTTTACTCTAATATGCATGAATATTTATACGAAAATTTTGAACCAATCAAGGCAATATGGTTTAAAATTTTCATTTAAATATTCATGTATATTAGAGTAAAGCCTGATGACGATCTAACTGAAAACAATTGTTCGCTTATATGTGTTGTTCTAACCTAATATTTACCAACAATTAAACAAAATCTCTAAACTAACTCAGTAAAAATAAAACACACTCTTTCAAGCAGTTTCTTTCACTAAAATGTCGAATAATTAGTTCTAGATAGAAGTTATCTATATGAACTTATGACAATTAAAAGCCAAATGTGATTAAAGTTAATCTACCTTATCTCATTATAATCAAACATGATAAAACCACTTTCATTTGCCTACACTAATTTATAAAGAGTACATTTCGAAGTATTCCGTCAATGTATTAAGTACGATTAAAAAGTTATTAGCATGTGGTCGGATGACAAATTCGTTTCCCAGATACTTTTGACTATATGACATGTTCAAGTTGTTGGATGAGTAAACAAATGTGATCAGCAATTGTTAAATGATACCAAAACGCAAAATAAAAAAGTTAAGATTATTGAATAAAACGCTTACTGTTCGAAGTATCAATCAGGGCCAAAATAATAGTTAGTACAAGGACAATAATCTCGACGATCATACATCCCAAAAATCGAAATCGTGGAGTTGAGGTCCTACATAAAGAGACTAAATGAGTAATATATATCACCATTTAAATAATTAGTAACTCATCACATCATAAAATCTCATCAAAAACGTTTTGATGCATTACAGTGGATTTAAGCTTGTTACAAGGAAATTCATTTTAATTTTGATTGACGTTAGAAAAGGTACTGCCATAAATTTAGTTGACTTGAGCTATCTTGCCTCAAAAGGTAAACCGCTTTCAACTTAAAACGTAACCTGAATGCAAAAGTTGCCTAAAACCACACCTTGATCTAAGACTTTTCGTTATCATACTTTTTAAATATCAGGAGGTTAGGCAGACAACTCGATGCAAAACCAGCAGGAAAAGAAAAGAGAAGTTATAGTCAAATAACCTCATATAGAATAAATCAATTAACAATCAGCCGACCAGTCAGTTGGCCATGAACAACTTAGTAATGATCTAGAACAAGCAAATATGTCAAGTAAGCGATTTCATCCTCAATTTATTTTTAAGTCGGTCTTAAATAAATGAAAGATTATAAGCTCATGAAAAGGAAACATGTGTGAAGATAAGAGACATTCATTGTTTTCGACTGTTCCTATACCCTTATATGGATCATCTCAACTATTTGCAAAAACGTAAAACAATAGGATAGAAAAAGAAACTCGTACTTTGGGTTTTTTGAGAAATCCTTATATAAATACAATTGATATAAGATATTAGAAATAATAAGCAAGAGTAGCATTTGTCATTCGGTAAAGTATAAATAACTTTCACAAATAAATTATGTACTAGTATATACAGAAAATCAATAAGCTTGTTCTTTTCTCCTTCTTAATAAGCGCTTGTAAAGAGGAAGATTAATGAACATATATTGTATCTTAGTTTATAACATTTCACCGGAAACGAACAAAATTATGAGTCAAGTAATTTCACTTACGTAGAGCCACTTTGATAAAATGTATTCCATGCAGCAAAACACAAACTAGGGAACTGAGCAGCAAAACCAAAATAGCTTAGAAGATTGATACGATAGTCCGCATTATAGCTCGTTGTTGTATTTAACTTGTAATCAAAATACTAGTATACACTGTTCGTTACTAAACATACTATACCTCATAGCCATTAATAAAGACGTTCCATGGTATCAGAAATCCGATACCGTGCAAAAACAGGAAAACGTAAGCCAAATTGTACCTTAAAGTAAGAGGGAACCGCAGGATTTTACCTATCAACAGGTGGTGACCGGACTTTTTCCTCCATATTTAATCAGGTTCTCGAGTTTCCAAAGCTAGACATCAAAGAGTTTAGCAAAAAAAGAAAGTTACTGATGGAAATTGCCTGAAGGAAAAAGTCAAACAATATGAAACCGATGATCTGTGAAATATGTTAATACGTTAAATGAACTGTATAAAGTGGTGAAACAGCTCAAATTTATCACTGACGATCTTTCAACAAAATACTACAAAGAAACATATCACCTCACCTAATTTTGTAAACAGTAAAATTTAATTAAATATAAGAATAACTGGAAACGATGATAAAATTTTTCAAATCCTCGTGAGAATTACTTGTAGCACTCATGAATGACGAATAACCTCTCAGTAGTTAAAAATCCATAAGTCACGTTATGGAAATGTAGGTCTCATTTTAGTTTCCATGATTTAAAAAACTTCGAATAAATACGTTTATTACATTTATAAAGAGACTGGTTAACCGACCAAACTGAAAGAGAAAAATCGAACTTGTAGTGGCATTGGACAATAACCACACAATCTTCAAAGCTGAACACGAGACTATTCGGAAAATAGATATTCAATATTTGACGCGGAGAAATACCTAACGATGGAGAAGGCGAGAACAATGGATTGAATTAATTGGAGTTGATCGAATGGCATGGCTCGACCATGCAGGCGTGGTCCCTGCTGAATGTTTTCTTATATCTTTTATTCATATTAAATATATTATTCTATCTCTAGCCTGAGTTTGTTCTACATCATGTATTGATGATTGTTACGATACGACGAGTTTATGTAGACGATGGTATGACTTCTACGTAAGATTTTATAGATTAGGCACTTATATTCTGACAATTATACAATTTTAGGATTAGGTCTGTTATTAGCGCAGTACTAAAATCATAGTTGACCATAGTTCTACAAACTCAACAAGAAATTGTTTAACAAGCACATCCACTAGTTTAAGAGAGTTACAACAAGAAATGTTAGCGTTTGCCGTGTTTATTGAAGTATCTACGTGACTGCTGATAAAATAATAAAATTCCGTTTACCAAACTAAATTTGTAAGACAATGTGGGCAATCATGTGAGGTATTCAATATGTTCGCCTCTTGCTTCTAATTCACAAAATAAAATTTCTTATGACCCAAATGATAATAGAGCTTACAGATAATTAAGGTTACAACAACCACAAATAGACACAAACTGAAAATTGCATAACTCAAAATAGTAGACGGTTGGGATATTAGGCATGTGATAATAAAGTGTGAGAAAATCACAAACGATTGAAACATGTTCAAGAATATTGGATCTATCCGAATTTGTGGTTTTCGCCCGTTACAAGAAACAGAATATTTCTGGCAATATACAATTAGATATTACTTGAAACTAAAGTCGCATGCCACTCTAGACATCATAAGAATGAATTTTGAAAGACAAGACATTTTTTACAGAAGATAGTGTGGTACCTTTGAACAGATCACAAAAAGTATCAATAAAATATTAAAGAAAAGCATACACAAAGTTACGCGAAAACTCAATATTTTGCCGTTTGTGAAGGTCACAGTATGAAGGCCTTGGTGTATATTATCAAACCTTAAATTTGTCAAGTGTATGTCGGATGCTCATTGTTTCTTAGGATATGCGAACAGATAATAAAGGAGTGATCTTGACCACGAAAAAGTATTGTTTTTGTTTTAAATGAGCTCCACTTTCGCATTTGTTCACTAAGAATTATCAGTTTATAACTTCTGTTAGCTCTTTTCTAGTAGACTTTAAAGAGTGTCTGGCATTTCCATTGATAAGTCATTTAAAGATGAGCACACCATTTTTCTTCTAAGCAGGTTACAGGGGTTGATTTCATTGTGGAAACAAGTTTAATGACAACCGGATGAAGACTTTTAGGTTTCATTGTGCATGGTAAATTACGTGATTCCCAAATTATGTCAGTGGCCATACTCATTATATTTTATGAGATTTAGAGTTCGGGATAAGTGTTTAAATTAAGGCTTACTAGTTTTGATCTCAATAAGGCTATATACATCAGAGTAAGTATATTTGAACCCAGCTTAGCAAATATCATCTAAACGCCTAAGTGTTCTAAAAAACTGAAGAGAAAAACTACTGACGCTTTGCAAATTTTTCAACCGTCCACTGTCTATTTTGATACACCCAGGCACACTGAAAGACATTACCATGATCGTACTACTATTATTTCGACGATCAAATGGATTGCCCTCCTCATTATCATCATTTACTTCTCACTATATTTTGAAGTTATTGGTGTAATGTAAAAGTAGGTACCTGATGTCATTCTGAACTTCATTGACCTGAATCATAAGTGGAAAAAACGTTAGCTCGGAGCTCCGCAGTACCTGCACTAAGTTACAGCTAAGGATGGAAAAATTCAGTAATAGGTCTATTCTCAATATTCGACCAACCCGAAAGTCTCTAATAAACTTAAACACATGCCCCGGGATTACTTATTCTCCATTACCAAGCTACTCAATTATATGAGCTCTCTGTTAAGTCATAAGTTGCACAGAAACCAATAGTAGGTCTTCAGACTATTCCTTACTAAACTTTTGCCGTAATACTAACAAGAATAACTAGCCTATAGTTCGTTGAAAATTCTCTCGATGCTGTCTAACAAAGCAGAATGACTTTCAAATAACGTGCTTGTGAGTACGGACTACATTTTGAACAGGAAAATATTTCGAATGATTGAGCCTGTTGGGATCTCTAATGTGGTGGACAATCAGTACATCAGACATTTGGTTCCAGCTTATGCTTTCTCATCCGAACATTAGTAGTTGATAGGAAAATCCTAGGCAACTGAGTTTTATAGTCGTATCATCAGCACGTGTATACTTCTGACTGTGCAGTCTAGGCAACTGTAGTTCTTTAATGCTTGTAAGAGTTCAACTGGATGTGTCACTCACAGTGTTATAAACGATAGCGTCAGTTACAAGACGTTTTCTCTTTAGGCTGGTCAACTTTGGACAGTCCTTCCTTCCTGCAAATCACCAGATTCAGTTGCTGATAGCACCTTTTATTTGGAAAATTTTTTAGGTGTTTTAGATTAAACTTCCCAACTTAATCTTTCAGTTTGTGGTTGATCTATCTAAAAGGCAGAGATTTGTGTGGCTGATGTGTTGTTGTTCTGGATCGTTGCCTTCATTGCTTATAGAGGTTCAGAGTCCAGCAAAATGAGCTTCTCGCTTTCCTCAACATATTTGTTGAACAACGTTTTATTTTTTCAACGAAATTAATGATTCTTGGAGACGTTTCCGGAGTTCTTAAGGCCAGATTTTTACGAAATCGACCTCTTGAGGAGATTGGACACTAGATGTGTACTCTATGTACCACATTTACAATGACCTCTCAAATTGCAGTGTAACACACCTGAGTCTTTATATCATTCATTATCAACTACAGATATGTCTGCAGCGAGTATGTTTTCAGGTTCTAAACCAACGAGATTAATTTTATGGTATAGCTTTGGGTTATAGCTGCGTAAGGTTAGTGTACAAATCATTCCAGTGAAACTCAGGATCATCAAGGGATTATCAACAGGAGGAACAAGCGCCAAATTATGTAGTGGCTAGTAGCCGACGAGAACTAGGTTCTAAGTATTATTATCACCAAGTTACAATGCTTTTACCTGACAGTGTTATCACCATTTACCCCAGCACTGTAACAGAAGTTCCCGATTTTGTTCAAAACGTTGTAATTCATACTTTAGCTTTGCAGGATATCTGGACAAAATAAGTAAAGCTTTTAAATAACATGCTCTCTTATGTAGTCGCAATGCCTGGGTAATGCATCTAGGAGTATAATCAATATTATCAAGACAGGTCGAAATAATATCAAAATCATATTCATGAATGTATAACGACTCGATTTGCTTGATTCACAGCTGATCTCAAACATCTAGGTAAATGTCATAACATTATAACTCAAGTAATCATCCGCTATCTCGTTTTAGGTATTTAACAGTTCATATATATTTTTCTTCGGTCATGCAACTAAAAGCTATCACATATGTGATTTCTTTTCATTTGATTCAAATGGGTTAAATGGTTGTGGGTGGATTAGAAGGTGCTCTCGCTTATCAGGCTTCCGTGTCTGGTAGCAGTGGATCACCGAAACCTCCAGGCAGGAACCTGGGTATATTAACGATAATAGAGGGGAAAAAGAAAATTGGTAAATCGTAGCAAGGTGTAGTCCTTAGTCCTTAAGAATAGGTTTAGTTTCCGCTTAAAGGACACATGAGAATTCGCTTGTACTAGTTTAGTTGGCAGCGAATTCCAACGTTTGTCAATTCTTAAAGAGTAGAATTTGTGTCTACAGTCCGTTCTGCTATGTTGTCGAAGTCTGAGAATTGACAATATTCAGGAAATCTTACTAGAAATTATGAGTGCTTGGTACATTCTGGACAGGAATACTTTATTTAGCATTCAGAAATATCCAACGTCCGTTACATGGAAACGACTGTTGTCTCTTTGCAGCTGAATAAACTTACCGAATTCATCCTGATTCACACCGGACTTTAAACCAAAAGGATTATGTGTACCAACTAATTATCTATGAGCAATCGTTTACAATGTAACCATTTGACCTAATTTCTTCTTATCTCCACCAAATTCATAGTGTTTGCACCTCTTGATTCTCAGTTGCTGCTTACATTTGCATTAAGAGCACTCTAACCACAGCACAATCTTCTTCGTAGTTTTAGATTTTTGCCTGAGAATTTGCTTTTTCTGACCTCCCTAAGTATTATCATGGCAAAAAGCTTTTGTGAGCATCTAAGGCCTAAACAGCATGTTGTTTCCTTGAAAAAAGCATAACTAAGAGTGCAAATCACAGCATTCGCTCTATACTGAAGTATTATGTGACGTATTACGGCGAAACTGTCATATATGAACTACTGAATGATTGGTTTACCCGCAATGGAAATACGCTCCGTGCACCGGATATTAGCATTACGTTCGCCAGCAAAAGTTGTCTGAGTATTATTAACTTTGATCTCAGTAGTATATACGTCGCCATCAAGACCAGTATATTGATTGCGAGTTCTGCTTCAGATGACATCCCAACGATTTTTTTAAAAATGGCTTGACCGGACATTCAAATATTATTACTCAATATATTCACACTTTCTTTTGAGGTAGGTACACATTCCGAAAGCTGGAAGGTAACGTATGTTGTTCACAAACACAAGTCAGAAGCGAAAAACCTGAGTGAAAGCTACAAACCTATAGATATCACCCCATTTACATCACATACGTTATACAAAGTGATACAAGATCAACTACCTGATCATCTACTTCATGAAGATCTAATAGACTCGTCACGACGCGGCTTTATTAGAACAATGTCCTGCAAAATATGTCTGATAGAGGCCTTTAATGAGGTTATTTGCATACGTGACCTAAAGAAACTAGCAGTTATACTGTATTTCGACAGTGAGAAAGCTTTTAATAACGCACCTCATAACTTTCTAATCAACAGACTTCAGTCAGTTGGGATTACAAACTCACTATTGAAATAGATTAGGTGTGTTTTCTTTCCTATTCGCTCCATTCGATTTGTTGTACTCTTATCTAGAGGTTCTAATCACATTTAACTGTAACAAAAATAGCTAATTTGACTTTAATAATTTGTCAGTTACAATTCCTTGTTTTCACTTACTCTTGACTCAGAATCTGCGAACTGAATTCGGGTAGCTGGTGCATTTTTTCGACTGACCGACCTTTGTTTACATTATCTTTTCCTATATCTCTTAATGTATATAAGGTCGATAAACTTTGATTTCTGTGATCACTATTTTAACAAAGAAGATATCAAGACACCAGGTTAACGTGAATTAACTTTAACAGTAAGGTTTTTACGCACAAACAAAAAAAGACAAACAGCTTTCCAATTCTCCGTGTTTCTATTATTAGTCAATACTATTGACTTTATGAACTTTTAATGTTTTTTACACCTCATAAGGCTAACTACAGCACTTCTTTAAAAGCAGATACTGTTTGTGATTTGTAAAGCACATACGACTTGGACCATGTTGTCAGTCGTAATTTCAGGTTTATGACAATGAAATCTGTTTAGTCTTGCTAATCGTGATTTCTAGTCCATCGTGTTTGTGTTGCGCAACAAATTATAGTATCAGTGGCATCTCTGTGCTTTTGGTCTTTCATTATTTACTGAAACTGTCGGAGGCTTAAGGGTGTTAGGTGCAGCAAACACTAGTTTGATCGCGTCTGTATGGTAGGGTTTGAAGCGAGGATTTCCTTTATCGAACTGTCAATGTTACCAGACCAGTGGGCATAATACAACACTGCAGACTTACAGTGAAGTGACTGCCAAAGTAACTTGATCTTGCTTCCAAGTGAGATCAGCATGCTTACTGACTCGCCATGTCGTGTTAGGCAGTAGGTTGTTTAGCCAGAATGTTTGAATAATAACTGTAGGTTCAAAATAGAATGATAAATTCACTATGAAAAGGATAAATTTGCAGAGTTAATACGTCTGCATGTCTGAACCATACTCAACA